AAACCGCGATATTTACGTGTGCAGAAATGCAGATCCACTGTTTACACTCTGATTGTGTTGACTAAGCATTGTTTCACTTTGAGTTTGTGTTTTAAAGGCTTGCTGAAAGCACCAAAGACGCATTTCTGATGCTCGAGTTACTTAGTTCAATAAATGTGGTTTTTGAGAGCCAAATGAGAATGAGTGAATCAGCTGATTCTATTTTGGTGTTTACACGTAAAAAAAAAAAATCTAAATCTTAAGGCCTCTCAGGGTTTATTTGGTACCAACACACCATATAAAAGCTCTCTGGTCTCTGTGAGTGCAAGAAAAGACCAAATACAAAGTTTTCTTACTTGGTTCTTTGTATTTCTACAGAAGAATCATGATCTGTTTGCAAGCTGGAGCTGTTTATTACTTTAAAGTAATAGTTCTTCCAAAAATGAAAATTTGCTGAAAATGTATTTACCCTCAGGCCATCCAAGATGTAGATGAGTTTGTTTCTTCATCAAAACAGATTTGGAGAAATTTTGCATTACATTACTTGATTACCAATGGATTCTCTGCAGTGAATGGGTGCCGTCAGAATGAGAGTCCAAACAGCTGATAAAAACATTACAGTAATCCACACTCCACAAACTCCAGTCAAGCAATTAACGTCTTGTGAAGAAACAAATTTGTAAGAAACAAATCCATCTTTACAATGTTTTTAACTTCAAAACATAAAATATGAGTCTTCTACTCATAATATTGCCTCCGCCAATGAAATAGTTAGCTCGTCTGAATCAGGAGAGAAATATGCACAAATCAGTCAACATTGAAAACAGTTCTAAACGAATATGTTTTGATGTGAGAGGACAACAGGGCATGGACTTTTTTACTGGACGAAGTGTTATTATGAATCATGTACTTGTATTTTAGCCAGAAGCAATGGTTTGAAGTTAAAAACATCTTAATGATGGATTTGTTTCTTACAAACACACAGAATTTCACCTTACAAGACAATAATTGATTGAGTGGATTGGTGTGGATTACTTGTGGATTACTGTGATGTTTTTATCAGCTGTTTGGACTCTCATTCTGACGGCACCCATTCACTACAGAGGATCCATTGCTGAACAAAGCATGTAATGCTAAATTTCTGTAAATCTGTTCTGATGAAGAAACAAACTCATCTACTCATCTTGTACAGCCTGAGGGTGAGTACATTTTTAACAAATGTTCATTTTTGGGTGAACTATTCCTTTAACTAGCTAACTCGGGATGATTTCTTAGTCATTCACACAAACAAAATGAACAAAACTCTAACATCAACCAGCCTTGATGATTGACACTGATGATTATGCTAATAAATGGATTTAGTTGAAGCAACAGAATGCGGCATCTGTTTCTGAAGTGTTTTTAAAGACTTCCGCTCCGTTCTGTTGCTTCAATCCCAGTGTACCTCACCTAACACTTGCTTCCTCTTTGCCAGACAGCTTTTTAATTGCACATCTCAGAAGCAGGTATTTGAATCCTGAACTGCACTTGTGGCAGGTTGAGCCCTCGGATGCGATTCTGCCGGGATCATGAACCTGGAAATGCAATCTGTTTTACAATATAAGGCCTGGTTGCTTGTACATTGGGGCCCAAAAGCCTGATTCTTCCAGCCAAAATGCTTCTGTGTTGCATTTATGATTAGTAACCTTGAAATAGAGCACAATCTGAAATGTTTCTTCATTAAATCTTCATTGTTTTATCATATTCTTGTCTTTTTTTTTTTTACATTTACATGAAGAAAAACGTATATTTTCCATGTGGTTTAGAGTTTTTTGACTCAACATCGACTCGACAGTAACATTTCAGTGTTGTGAATCTGTTTTCCCCTTAAACTTTAAACATTTGCTGTTGAGCAAATGAGGCTCATTGCAGTGGAATATTTCATTTGTATTTTTCCTGATTGTTATTAGGGTGGTATTTTATGAAGCAGCTCTTATGTCTTCACCAGGATCCTAAAGGGTTTCTGGTAACATGATCCTCTAAAACCGTGTCTTATTCACCTGAGTCCTGTAGCTGCATTATGAGGGGACACTGCTGGATGCAGACCTGTTTGTAATAAGGAAGAGTTTGTTTCCAGAGACAGGCTCTTTAAGAGTGTGAATGCTTTACGTGGACACTGTTAACTTTTAATGAACTCCATTTCCCCCACAGTGAGGCTTATTAAAGCCCACAAATATTAGTCTGCTTGAGACAAAATCAGAAAACTCAGAATATGATTCCTGGTGCATTATACATTTAATGCATTCAATTCTTATTCTTTTTACTCATTCTTTTTCTTAGAATTTATCCTTTAAAAAAATCTATTTATTTATTTAATACATTATTTATATAGAAGTGTGTGTGTGTGTGTGTGTGTGTGTGTGTTAATATTATTGAATATATTGATTTATTTATACATGTATTATTTTATATATTTTATATCTAGATAGATATGCTTTAACATATTTTATATTAATTATATTATATATATATAATATATAATTATATATATTTTTTTTAATTATATTACATATAATTAATAATATTTAAAAAAAAAAAAAATTTTAAATCACATTGCTTTAATAGCATATCTTGGTGTGTACTGAGGTTTTTCTGATATTTTTGAGCCAATTGACACTTATGACGGGTTTTGATATATATATATATATATATATATATATAAAGGTGTTGGATTTGGAGTGTGATGCTCTCAGTTCAGATGCCAGTCACCATCCAGACCTGCATTAGTCAACCTTTTCCGTGTGAGCTGTTTCTACATGAAATCATTTATCACCACAAACCAATTCAAGTCTTTCCTCTAAAACTGACCCGGATTGCTGGTTCTTTCTGAATGTTTTACAGGTTGTACAGTATTGATCTGACAAACCTGTAATGTGAAAAAGATCACCAGAGAGTCACTGAGTTCAAGAACCACTTACATCAAAATATGGTTATTTGCTTAAAGAACTTTTATTTTGAAGTTTACATTCATCTAGTCAGTTTAATTAGATGTTATATAATTCAACTAACTTTCTCTAATGTGTGTGTTTAATTCCAGCCGTGTTGTCCATGTGTTTTCTGGTACTCCACCGGACAAGCTTTGCTTAAAAGGCTACATGATCCCCGGCACATCCTGAAATTAACAGGCTTACGGGACCATAAATCTCATTTATTTTCCCTGTGACCTGATTTCTTCTAGCGCTTTGAAAAGCTCTCCGTATAGCCCTTATAGACACGATCCTGTGGGAATTACTGCAGTTTAACCTTTCTTTTCTTGTTTTAATGCTGAGGAAGCATTTCTGACATGCTAACTTTGTCACAATGTAGTAACCAAAATCATTTTGTCTTCATATTATCAGCTTAACTTACTGTAGTTCTGACTTCAGGGCATTTATGTCACATATTTCCAGCAGGATGTACATCAGTGTCAGATTCACCTTGAAAGTGACCTTTTATTAGCATGCAGTAAATTTGTGATGCTGAAAACACATGGCATGTGCCTGATTATAAAGGAGCTTTTTTTGACAGAAGCAGGGTGAACTGTGCAGCGTTTAGTCTTGGCCCCGTTTTAAGGAGCCTGTGGTGGGATGGGGTTTGACTGGGTCACTGTAATCAGGCAGCAGTCAGACTTTGCTCCAGTGTCATGACTTATACTAGCTCCTCCTATGTATTTAACCTTTACCTTCTGCTGACGGTTGTTCCTTCACTTTGTAATTTTAGAGAGAAGCCGACCGAAGAGGCCAAAGCCGAGACGAGCAAAACGTCAAACGTCAAACCCAAACCAGCAAGCGCTGCGGCTAACCTTGATCCGGACGACCTGTTCGATGATATATGACCCTCTTTGGGGCCTAATGAGCACCGTTTGTGATAAGCATGACTTTTGTACTGTTTTTAAACTGTAGGAGTAATAAAATTGTATGTTTTAAAAGTATTTTTATAGTAAAGATTAATTGGCTCTATACTAATAAACAATAAAAGTTTAAAAAAAGAACACTACTTTTTAATGGCAAGTGAAGCAAAATTATGAATAAGTCCATTTTAACTCTGTACGGTGTGAATAAATATAATAAATGTGAATAAAGATGTGATTTTCTCATTCCCTAAGTAGTGATATTTCAAAATGGATTTTAATCCCAAACTGTTTTTGCATTTTTTTTTTCTATCTATCTATAAACTGACTTCAAACAATGTTTTGCAATTGAAAATTACAGTTTGATGTAGGCCTACTATCCACTTAAACAATACGTGATCAAGTTTCAGGACATTTTATCTGACTTTTATGTACTATTTATGTAAACGCTGGTAACTTTACTTTTGCAAATGCAGCATTGATGAACACATTCAAAAATCTTACCCACCTTAAACTTTTAAACAGCAGGGTATGAATTTCAACCCTATACCTTGATTTTGATTTGTAATCTCACACACACTGCAATAGCCAAATCAAATCAATGGTGCAGGTGTTTTCTAGAGGAGGTAACGGTGCTGTCTCTCCCCCGTGTGGAAAGCTCAGGCAAGCTCTTATAAGTGGAGTTGGGCAGTTCACATCAGTAATTTGGTCGCTTTCACACCCCTTAATAACCCAGTAACTCCATCAGCACCTTCTCTGTCTGATTATCAGTGCTCTGTCAGACCGCGCGCGCAGTGAGATACAGATGCGCTTTTACGCACGACTCCGCGTAATACAGAGAGCTGCTTGATGGTCAGGACTGCGAATGTTCAGTGCATATCTAAGCTGTAAAATGAATACTCGTTTCATTTGCGAAGTTGAATCGAAGACTGTCTCTTATTTTAGCTCCCACGGGCGCGTGCAGTTTGGATTTTGCGCGAAAATGTTCCAAGATTGCGCAATGCATTCATAATAAAGTTAGTCAGAGAAACAACTAACTCATTTGTTTTTAATTACTTATAACCCAACCTACATGTTCAAGCTAACTGATCAGTGAATCAAGGTCCAGTTTGCACCAGCTCGAAGAGCGCAGAACATCCCCGTTCCTCTTCAGCAGGATGCATCAGATTCTTTTTTGGGTGGGCACTTTCTGCCCCTCCTCTGGAAACTGACGAAATCATGGGTGGACATGGAATTTGAACTTGCTGCCGGCTCATGTCTCCAGTCTTTCCGTGGCCGCCAGGGAAAGAAAGAGCACTGAAGTCTGCTGCTCACTATTGGAGCATCAGAGATATTTGCGCTTTTTTGTGAAGGGTTGCATTTGGAGAATCAGGAATAGCCAAGACTGCCTACAGGAAAAAGTAAGTTCTATTCTGTTCTATTAAAAACAATTATGTCCTAATTGATAAGTGATTAATATTACTATTATTTCACATTAACAAGTCATCTGCTGTGGTTAATGTCCATTGCATTTTAATTTGACCATGTTCTGCTCGCCGTCTTTTGATATTAGAGCAGATTTACCTCAGTGCATCTCTTTGTTTCTCATTTGATTGTGTTGTCAGAGCTTGTCTGTCGCCCTGAAGCTTTGTTTGCGTTTGACATCTTCTCAGTGGAGATCCACTTATCATTATCTCATCACTATCATTGTAACACCAGCTCTGCTTTAATGCTGATAACTGAGAATATGATCGGTCTTCATTAGCGCGCGCACTCGTGCTGATTGTTGCGTGAAGGTGCTTTATATATCGCTCTCTAGTGTTGATAGTGTGTACTATATAGGGCGTGTGTGACTGTCACCACAGCTGTCACAAAATGATCTTTGTGTTTCCGAGGAATGAGTAAAGTAGGACTGTCCAGTATATTAAGATGGAACGTATACATCCTTTTTAACCGCTAATTATGAATGAAGCTTTCATAAACACGTTCTGTATCTGATGGCAAAGCCATATATTGAATTGATAAAGGGAGACAGGAGAGCAAACAGACAGTGGGTGTCTAAAGACCTAGCTGGACCTGGAACAAAGACATGGATGGACATTAAACACAGGCAGTTTGACAACCAACCCACGTTTAGGAGTAAAGTGTAGCTGCAAACGCAAAACGAACTAAACTCATGACTGGCTTTTACCAAATGAAAAGCTTTTATGTATTTATTTACAGAACTGAGATGTTATTGGACGTTAAGCACATCCTCTGGTTGGTCTGTGCCTGCAGCGCTGCTGTAACCAAAGATGGTGAGTTTTGGAGTGTTTTAAGGCGTTTTTTAAATTCTTTATTCTCATTAAAATGATAAACTTCTGTCCAAACCTTTAAAACTAGGTAAACGCTATAGGGATGCAGTGATGTTAATATATCCAGTTATCATTTTCATTTGATGGACGATATCGATCAGTGGAAGATATTCAAATTATCGCGATAAACATTTGCATATAATGGCCGATAACAGTTAAATGGCAGATATTCCAATTTGATACTATTTTTCATTTAAATGATAAAAGTGAATTTAGGCATCACAACATTATCTATGATATGAAAAATATTCATATTATTGACATTTATGCATTTAATGCTTTTATCCAAAGCAGAGGAACAAATATGCCAACCATTTGTCAAAGAATCAACAATTGGTTAACTATATAAATATAGTGTATGGAGTATTAAAAATATTCATAAAATCAATGCTATTTATTATAATAGTTGTAAATATTATAATAAATATTATAATTAAATATGTTCTAATATTAGCCTAAATATTTTTTGAAATTTGTTAAAGCTTAGATTTATTGGTGTTATTAAAGTATTAGTGTTTTTAGTGTTACACGATGACAAAAGTAACTGAACTTAAAATTAGGAGAAATGAGTGTGTACATTATGTAAAATCAACTAATACAATGATATATTTTTTTTTTTAAATCTGTAATATCGGTCAGTAACCGATATGAAATGCATCCCTTGTAATCATTGTAAACCAATAGCAATCGCTCAGCACTTCCTGTGTCGTGTGCTAAACGACTACTTCCTGTCTGCTACAGTGTTATTTTACATTTCGCTGATGTACTATTGGTTTTTGTTAACATTTTGAATTATAATTCGAATATCAAAATATTAAAATATTTTTAATTTTAGTAACTTTTTATATCGTTTTCATTCTGTTTTAAGGTTAGTTTATAGTTATTTTTGTACTTAAACTTTTTTATTTAAGCTAGATGACATTTATTATTTTTGTTTAGTTAGTAATATTCTAAGTTTTATTTTTTTGTTAATACTTATTTAATTTCATGTAATGTTTTTTTTATATATATATATATATATATATATATATATATATAGTTTTAGTTTACAATAACAACACTGGTAGTGTGCTTTTAACATATGTATTATTCCATGCATACAGAAAATGTAATATTGTGTGCACAGTGTACTATGATACACACTGTATATACTGCAGCAGAATTTAGAGTAGTATGCTAACATGATATTCCAGCTATAGCCATAAAGACCACTTTTCATGATCTAATCATTTCCTGATGGTTAAAAGTCACGTGCAGATTTGTCACATTACTAAATGCCGTTTCATAGTGACTTCAAACAGTGAGGTTGTATAGTTATATTTAATATAACTTTATATAAGTACAGAATATGCACCTTGCTATTATAATTTATCTGAATCTCATCCATTTTTCCATTCACTTCTGTGTTTCAGTCCAAATCCTGGCTTTTGTTGGAATTGCCAGGCATGCGGATCAGGCTGCAGGGCTCTGGCCACGCGGCCCGTCTCCTCTCTGAGCTCAACCGCTGCCGCCTGTCTCGCGTCCTGTGCGACATCGTCCTCCAGGTCGGAGGCCGTTCCTTCCCGGCTCATCGCGTGGTGTTGGCGTGCTCTTGCACGCACTTTAGCAGCCTCTTCTCCAGAGGGTTTTAGTTAACGATAATAGCCCTGGTCTGCTATAAGTGACTAATACTGTATGAGAGATTAACCGCAATGTTTTTGGTTTATATAACTGTTATGTTTCTTTTAATATCATAATTAAGCAGTATGGTTAAAATATTCAGTCTCAATGGATGCAGAACACTTGAGTGTTGTTTCAAAGCTTCCAGCAGATGATATTCTGACGTTCCTCTCCTCCATCTGCTTCTTGTTTGCAGACTCCGCTCGTAGGATGAGGGTGGAGAGGAGTTCTCCGGTGAGGGGCTCGCTGGCGGAGCAGGTGGTCCTGCCCTGCTATTTCTCCATCCTCCCGCCTCCTACCGGCAGCTCCAGCACCTCCACCACTGCAGCCACGGCCTCCAGCGCCCACCCGGACCTGCTCCGCATCAAGTGGACTAAACTTGTGGGCAATGAGGAAATCATAGTGATTGTGACCCAGAATGGGTTCCTCAAGATCGGGCCGGAGTTTAAAGGCAGGGTATCGATTCCCAGCCACTTTGAAGATGTGGGCAACGCGTCTCTGACCATAGAGAGGCTCAGGGCCAGTGATGCGGGCGCTTACCGCTGCGAGGTCATGCACGGCATCGAAGACACCCAAGAGTCCGTCTCCCTGAATGTCAACGGTCAGTCATTCTCTATGCAAATTATGAAAGGAATACATGTTCCTGGTTGAACTGTAATCATATGAACCTCCAATTGTCAGTTTTGTTACAGAACAACTACTTTTCAGGAGTTTGTTCTGGAGCTAAAATTAGTTTAAAAATGCTATTTATAAAAAATAATTATATTATTTATTAAATGTATAAATACTGTGTACTGAGTATAAAAAATATCATAATTAATATATAATATTAAAATAATGTTTAAAATTATTATAATGAGTAATTTATATAATATGAAATATAAATGTTGAGATTTGCTAAAGATTAGATTTATTTTATATATTTATATAATTACTGTATATTTTTAGATTTATAGATGTTATTAAATTATTAGTGTTTAATAAAAAATTAAACAATAAAGGTAATCTAAATGTAAAAATAGGGGAATTGAGCATGTTAAATTAAATATTTAAATTATAATATTATAATTAAATATTCATTAATACTTATCACATATATTATAATTAAATATTCCCTATTTTTAATATTATTTAAATGTTTTATTTGTTAAGTGATCTCACTTTTTATGATCCAATTAAGTCTGGCCCTACATTTATCTCACATTTCATCTGGAAATAAATATTAGACTACAAAGGTAGTTTATATTTCAAAATCGAGGTAATGAGCATGCAAAATATATACTGTATATTTTTATTATTTTGTTATTAAATTATTAGTGTTTAATAAAAAATTAAACAATAAAGGTAATCTAAATGTAAAAATAGGGGAATTGAGCATGTTAAATTAAATATTTAAATTATAATATTATAATTAAATATTCATTAATACTTATCACATATATTATAATTAAATATTCCCTATTTTTAATATTATTTAAATGTTTTATTTGTTAAGTGATCTCACTTTTTATGATCCAATTAAGTCTGGCCCTACATTTATCTCACATTTCATCTGGAAATAAATATTAGACTACAAAGGTAGTTTATATTTCAAAATCGAGGTAATGAGCATGCAAAATATAATATTTTGACTAATAATATTAGTTAATACTTATTATTTATTAATTAATACTTATTAAATACTGTAATTAAATGTTAATTAATATTATTATTATTATTTTAACTTGAAGTGTGGCCAATTTTCATGATCCAGTTCAATCTTGGCCTAGTTTGTTTATGTTATTAAAGTAAAATGGGTTGTGAAGTAATGTATGACTTGAAAATATTAGCACTATTTATTTAAGTGAAATTGTTCATATTATTTATTAAATATTATATTAATTTATATTAAATATTCACCTTGATATTTGCAAATTATTTGATCATTTTAGACACGTACAATTATATTTTTAGATTTATCAGTGTTATTAAATTATTATTGTTTTTACAGACTACAATGGTGATCTAAACTAAAAAAATAGGGGAAATGAGCATGCAAAATATTTTTTTCCTTTACCATGATATATACTATATATATTTTCTCATGTTTCATGCGGATATATATTTATCAGTATGTCACGTTGCAAAGTAAAATGGTGTTTCTTTAACTTCCTTCAGCAGGATTCCCATTGACAGCAATGGCTCTCAGATGTGCTGCACTTTTTTACTCTCGTAAGCACATGTGATGATGCAGTTAGTCATCGCTAGCCAAAATGGAACAGTGTTCCTGTCAGGAGGCAAGAGAGGGGAAGATTATTTTGCATTAGAGTCTGGAAAAATCACTTTCAGAGTCTGGATTTCCCTCGAATCTTGACAAGGCTCTATTGTGTTTCTAAGTAATAGAAAGGCAGGGTGAATGATTTGTTTTTTAATCAATACAAGAACATGTTAAAGCTTTGGGGGTTTTTTTGGTTCCTTGAATGACTGCATTATGAACGAATGTCTGAAAAATCATTCAAGAAACAGTTTTCTTGCAAGACAGTGCCATGCAAAGATTGAAAGTATACAGTGTATTCAAACATACACTTTTTGAATGTGTATGCACAACACTCAAACATTATACATGCAGTATTAAACCTGAAACACTCATCCAACAGAAAAAGTGAAAGAAACTGCTAAAGAACTTATAGATGTATTTGTTGTGCAAACGTGTAAAACATGAGCACATCTGGCTCAGGTGAGACGCTGCTGTTGGAGTGTTTGTAGGCCCATAGAGAGCCGTGTGCCTTCAAGCCAAATACACTCAATGCCCTCTTTTGGGGCCCGGGCAGCGATGATTGCTACTCAAGGGCAGCGCCTACCCAAAAAACACACTGCCATCCCTCTGAGGAAAGAGCATTCAGAACCTGGCCCGTCAGCCAGCAGCTCTGCTAATGTACCCAAAAAAGACTAGAAAAGCCCATAAAAGGGCAAATAACAGAGGCATACTGCATGACCTCTTCTGAGCCTTATTAGTAGTGTTTGCTAAAGCAATGATCACTAGTACTGTTGCTCATTTGTGTTACAGTATTACATTTAACATGTAACTCAGCCTGTTTATTATGAATATATGATTTATGAATTATTAATTTTTGTCCCCCCTCCCCCCCTTTTAATTTGATTTTTCATTTGCAAACCTTCTTCTAAAAGTTGTGTGCATAAATTTATCCACTTTCTTTAGTAATTAGTAATTAATTCGTTTTTGTAATTTTGTGTGTGTGTGTATATATATATATATATATATATATATTATATTTTATAATATTTTTATGTATTTTTTTGTTGTTTTATTTTATTTTGTTTCATGATTTAGCTGTTAGACAGCACAGTAAAATTCTCTTAGAATTTATATTTTATTTTTCATTTCGTTTTATTTATTTATTTGATTTGATTATTTTGCATGCTTTATCCTTCTTGAAAATGTTGCATGCATAAATTCATTCTTTTTTTTATTCATACACATGCAGATGGTCGTCTTTGTCCATTGCACTGCATCATGCACCATTTTTTCCCTTTCTTTCTTTTCGAGCAATCTGCCGTAATCATAGTGTTTTCAAGATATTTAGTCTAGTTCAAAATATCCAAATCTTGTGTTAAGATCTGTCTGCCTGTTTTTGAGCACTCACAGATCATATAAAAACCTATTTTGAAGACTTTGAAGTTATGTCAGATAATTGCCTTTTAGCACCATTTAGGGATACTGTACAGGAAAATAGTTCAAATAAGTGTATAAAGAGTGGAGCGATAAAGTCAGTTTTGATATTTTGATGCTGTGTAATGCTGTGAGAGCGATTATTATTCAGATCATGTTCAGTATTTGACACGACAGGTTCCTAAATAGCTGAACAATACAATGATTCTTCATTTTTGCCGGACAACAGCTTGTTGTTGTGGCTGAAACTGTCAGTGTTCAGTACAAAAGCGGCCCTCTTGCCCATTTGTTGTTAGATGATATGCATATCATGTGACCATATGACCACCTGACTGGAGGGAAAATCAAATTGTTGAATAAATACATTACCATTCAAAAGTTTGCGGTTGGGAGGACTTTTTAAAATGTTTTTGAAAGACGTCTCTTAAGCTCACCAAGGCTGCACTTATTTATCAAAAAATACAGGATAAACAGTTATATTGTGAAATATTATTACAATTTAATATCAATATACAATTTAATTTAATTTTAAATAAAAATGTATTCCTGTGATGCAAAGCTGAATTTTCAGCGTCATTACTTCAGATCCTTCAGAAATCATTCTATGTTGATTTGCTGCTTTAAAAAAACATGTATTATTATCAACATTGAAAAAAAAAAAGATTTGCTGCTTCGTATTTTTGTGGAAACAGCGATACATTTTTTTTTTCAGGATTCTTTGATGAACAGAACAGAAGAACAGTATTTATTTGAAATAGAAAGCTTTTGACATTCTAAATATCTTTAGTGCAACTATAGATCAATTAAATGCATCCTTACTGAATAAAAGTATTCATTTCTTTCTAAAACCCTTTCTAAAAATGTTGAACTGTAGATGGTGGTCTTGTCAGGTATACAAAATATTAGTGTTTCACAAACAAAAACATCCAAACTGCTATGTAAGATTCGATCAAATGCATTTACCCTTGGTTCATGAGCTTGATTTCTGTTTCGTCGCAGGTGTTGTGTTTCATTACCGCTCCAGCACCGGTCGCTACACTCTAGATTTCGAGCGCGCCAAGCAGGCCTGCATTGATGTGGACGCCACCATCGCCACGGCAGAGCAGCTTCATTCAGCCTACGAGGACGGATTTGACCAGTGCGACGCCGGATGGCTGGCCGACCAAACCGTCAGGTGCTTTCTCCAGCTCCAGACTCGAAGCTATGACATGCTGTGTATGTTTGAATATTACTGATGTGAGAAGCGCATCTGGGGTTGTTCTCCACAGATACCCCATAACCAGGCCGCGTGAAGGCTGCCACGGCGATATGATACTGAGGCCAGGAGTCAGGTCATACGGACTCAGAAATTCCTCTGAAACGTATGATGTGTACTGCTATGTAGGAAAACTGCAGGGTAAGTTTAGAAATCAGCAGGTTTCTCATCACTTGAAACACACGAGAGACTCGCGCTGTGTTCACGTCGTGTCAGAATTACTATAATTATGAGATGAGATGACAGTTTGGAAAGTCTGCTCTGAGCTGTTCAGAAATTACTTGTTTCTATGGCAACGTAGAAATAGTTGTTTTTTTCATTGCAGTAATGAGAATTTGAAGGGAAAATGTCTCAATGTGAAAAATCTTAATGGTGCACATATATTACATTTATTATGTATTGATTTCTTTTTTAATCAATCAATCCATGTTTGGCTTTATTGGTGAGTGGTGATTTACTATATTCTCTTGAAAAAGGTATGTCTTCATAAAAAATAAAAAAAATCCTAAAAAATGATTGGGTGAATCTCATGGAAATAGTTATTAAAGTATAATATAAAATTATATTTTCAAAAAGAAAAATTTAACAAATATAACAAATTTGACTATAATGTATAAAAATACTTGTATTTTTTTTTTTTTTTTAATTGTTAATTTTTCACTGTTTAAAGGTTTGGGGGGGGTAAGTTTTTGAAAGA